CCCAGAATAACGAGGCCTGTCAAACTCGGGCAGCCCCGTGCACATGCACAGATACAGATCAGCGGAGGGGAACCACCTGCGCGCAAGACTGTCCACGGATCCCCCAGCAATAATTTCGAAACCTGGCCAGCCCGAGGTGTCTCCTGGAACAAAAAGCTCCTTCTTTTTTGGGTGGGCCTGAACGCCTCGGGCTGGATCCGCCTGTAAATGAAATTGTGGCTTCCTGCCCCCGACATCCTGAGGGCAACCGCTTTGTGGGGCCCCACGGGGGTGTCTTGCCGAAGGCATATGCTACGGACGAAGGGCGCTAGCACATCACTCATCACGAAAAAGTCTATGCAGCTGTCATTACACGTGGGCTGTTCAACGCGCACAACCTCCGCGTGTAGCACGTTTAGGAAACCATGCCGAAGAAAACTGTCGGCCCCAAAAAGCTCAGCTTCGATGTTCCAGTCTCCAGCAATGCAGAAGGGCAGGCACGAGGCCCTGATGGCCTCAACGAGAGCTCCCAAGGGCTCCACGTTGCCCTTTAGGCCCACCCCCACCTCTCCATAAACCGAAACAAAGAGAATCTGCATATCGCCGAATACAGTGCACTGAAACTTTAGCCTGCTCCTGGGGTGTGCACATGCTGGCAAATACTCTACAACAGGAATGTGAGCACGCGTGCACAGGCCTACCCCACAGGACGTCGACAAAGCCGAATGGCCAGTGCTCGCGCACGGTGACGCCTCCAGCCTATAGCCTCGAGCACGAGCCCAAGCTTGACCGCGTCGGATCTGCTCACCTGCTGCCAGGCGGAGCTCCTGCAGCACGAAAATGTCCGCCTGTAGCAACTGGTCCAGCACGCACCAGTCCATGAAACTCTGAGCCGTGGCCCAGGACTTGCAGTTGTAGCATGCCACCGTGAACTCCGTGCTGACCCCGAACGATTGTATCGGCTGCTTGTCACCAGCCAGCTGAAGCTTGCTAAGCGCTGTGTAAGTTGAACTCCGACCGCGCAACTCCAAATCATGAACAGGAGGGGGCTCACGTGGTGCGGCAGGGCCAGGTGGAACAGAGTGTTGCCCTGCAAGTTGCCCAGCAGAGAGAGGCGCCACATCGCTTGATGCCTCTTCTCCATTCAAATACTCGCACAGGTCCAGGCAGCTGTAATCAGGGAACTGCAGGCCTCCGTAGGTTACTGGTCTTAAACGAATGTCTTCCACTTCGCCCCCTTTGACCGCATCCGAGGACACGAGGGGGGGCACTCAATAGTTAGGGGTGTGTAGCCGCTTAGGCTTGAAATCTCCTGCTGCCAAAAGACGAGCTTTGGCTCGAAGCTCCTCCTCGTCCTCACCCTCGTCAGCCAAGGTGCCGACATCCTTGCGCAGCAGCTCCAACTCGATCGTGTCGATGTCCCATGCTGCTGGGGGCGGCACCGCTGGTTGACCTCCGCTTGCTGCCCCGCGAGCTCGCTTGCCAGGCGGCTCCTCCAGCAGCTCAGCCGCCCAGGGCTTGAGCACCTCAGCCAGCTTCGGGGCAAGCAAGTTGCCCAGCAGAGAGAGGCGCCACATCGCTTGATGCCTCTTCTCCATTCAAATACTCGCACAGGTCCAGGCAGCTGTAATCAGGGAACTGCAGGCCTCCGTAGGTTACTGGTCTTAAACGAATGTCTTCCACTTCGCCCCCTTTGACCGCATCCGAGGACACGAGGGGGGGCACTCAATAGTTAGGGGTGTGTAGCCGCTTAGGCTTGAAATCTCCTGCTGCCAAAAGACGAGCTTTGGCTCGAAGCTCCTCCTCGTCCTCACCCTCGTCAGCCAAGGTGCCGACATCCTTGCGCAGCAGCTCCAACTCGATCGTGTCGATGTCCCATGCTGCTGGGGGCGGCACCGCTGGTTGACCTCCGCTTGCTGCCCCGCGAGCTCGCTTGCCAGGCGGCTCCTCCAGCAGCTCAGCCGCCCAGGGCTTGAGCACCTCAGCCAGCTTCGGGGCAAGCTTGCTGGCGTCCTCGACGCCCTCCATCGCACCAAGCGCTGAAAGCAACTTGGCCTCGTCCAACTTGATCTCAGGGCCCGTGAGGTCCATAGCCTGATGCTGACCTGGCTCATCAGCTGGCTGCGAAGATGCGAGAGCACGCACCTCCTCCTCCAGCTGCAGGCAGACCTTCTGGCGCTCCAGGACCACTTGCGCAGCTGCTTTGGCCTCCTCCTGCGCCTTGAGCAGCTTCTGGTCCGCTGCCGCTCTGTCCTGCTCCGCCTTCTGGTAGCGGATGCGGGCCTGCTCAGCTCGGCGCGACAATGCCGTGAGCTTCGCGGGCAAGGGCTTGTTCTCATACAGCTTGCGACGAGCTCCCTCCAGCTGCTCGCGAGCAGCCTTGAGAGGTAGCTCCGCCCAAGGGGAGCGGATCGACTCCAGCCGCTGCACATGCTTGCTGAGCCCATCGATCTCATCACGTAGCTCTTCCGACTCATTGTGCTCTTCTGCCGCGTCGCCTCCACACGAGTCAGGCGAACCACGCAGCTTTGCATTCTCGGCCTCCAGCTGGTGCAGGCGCTTCTCCAACTTGGCATACGATGCGGCCGCTGCAGCATTGGTGCCGTCGGCCTTGCGCTTGGTCCTGCTGGGAGAGTCCGAGGGAACGACGCACTTGTGCAGCTTGCACTTGTAGCACTTCTCATTGATCCCATAGTTGATGAGAGGAGCCCCAGTACGACGAAACGTGCAAAATTTGCACATCCAATCTTGCTTGGACTCCTGCTGCTGCTTTCCACTCCATGTCCACGGCGCTGGCACCATGGCGACGTCTTTGCTGCGAGTTGGGCCGCCAGAGAGCCCCTGCGGTACTGGCTGAACGAAAAAGACTGTCGAGCGCAAGCGCTCTGGCACTGCCGCGGACTAGCGGTATCCACTTGTTCCACTGGGGAACTCAAAGCCTTGAGCCGAAATGGCTAAGGAAGAGGAGGAGGAGGAGGAGGAGGAGGAGGAGGAGGAGGAGGAGGAGGAGGAGGATGGAGGAGGGGGAGGAGGGGGGAGTAGGAGGGGGAGGAGGAGGAGGAGGAGGAGAGAGTGGAGGAGGAGGAGGAGGAGGGAGGAGGAGGAGGAGAGGAGGAGAGAGGTGGAGGAGGAGGAGGAGGGGGAGGAGGAGGGGGAGGAGGGGAGGTGGAGGAGGAGGAGGGGAGGGGAGGAGGAGGAGGAGGAGGAGGAGGAGGACGAGGAGGAGGAGGAGGAGTAGGATGAGGAGCAGGGGGAGGAGGAGTAGGAGGAGGAGGAGGAGGAGGAGGAGGAGGAGGAGGAGAAGGAGGAGGAGCAGGAGGAACAGGAGGAGGAGAATCTCTGCCCCCCGCCGCGAAGCAGCGACGCGGAGGCCTCCGCGGCGACGGCAGCGACGCGGAGGCCCCGCAGGCGACCGACCAGAGCCGCTCCTGCGGCGCCGACGGGCCCGCGGCGGCGCCCCCGCCGCACGAGGGGAGCGCTGGCGCGCCCGACGACGGCGACGACGACGACGACGACGACGACGACGACGACGACGACGACGACGACGACGGATGCGGCGGCGGCGGCGGCGGCGGCGGCGGCAGCGATGACGACGACGACGACGACGAGGACGATGGCGGCGGCGGCGGCGGCGACGACGACGACGACGAGGCGCCGCGCTGGGGCCGGAAGTTCCATGCGCCCCGTTCGCCGGCGTGCCCGGCGAGGGGCAGTGGGTTCCCGAAGCAGAAAGCAGCGCCGTATAAACAGAATTTCGGGCGCTTCGCGCGGATTGCTTGGATCCGTGCTGGGCCCCCCCAGCGGCGCCTCCGGCGCCGGGAGGGGGGTCCAGCGCAGATCCAAGAAGTCCGCGCGGAGCGCCAAAAGTTGATGTTCCCAGGCTTTCTTCGAGGGCTCACAAATAGCACCACAGGACCTCGACATCTAAAACACCATCGAGGTTTGAAGCAGTCCAGATGGGTCTATAACTAGGTCTGTTTTTTTTTGCACTGTGGAACCCAGAGATCCGACGCCGTGATTTGTCCAATGCGGGGTCCCCAGAAGTCTCGACCCATTCCACAGCACCGGCTTTTCGTCCCGAGTCGTTGTTGGACGGCCCTGAGGCCCGGCGAGGGCCCCTCGAGGCCGAAAACTGTGAAAAAACCTACAACAATCTTCGCCGTGATGTTTCCAACCCGGCGGATCTCTGGGAAGGTAAGGCTCTACATGGCGTTGGTTTCTCCTCCTACAGGTGTGGTTCCCCGCCGAGGTCCCCGCTGCGGGCTCCAGCGCCTTCGAGCCCGCGCCGGGCTGGGCCGGCGGCCAGTGGCCCGGCGCCAGGTCGAGGACGAGTCGGGGTTGGACAGACCTCCTGCCCTGACACGCCGATCAAGGAATTGGCCGTTTTCGGTTCGCGAGAGGGCGTCGCGGCCGTCCTTTTTGCGGGTCCAGGTCCGTCGGGTTCGGTCCCAGGCCGTTTTCACTCGGGGGAGGTCTGCTAAGGGGAGATGTGTCCACCGCCGAATGAGGAGGCCGGGCTTCCGCAGCCGCCACGCTGCGGTCGTCCATAAGGCTCTGGGCTTCCTAGATGGTCGGGGGCGGCAAAGAGGGGGGTGATGACTAGGGGGGTGGATCTCATGGCGGGGGCCATGATATTTCCCCAGATTTCATGGCGCCTCGTCTTGTTTCAGTACGTTCCTGGCTCCCCCCCTGGGCCGCGCATATGCCGCTGGCCACGATTTGCACCCCCCCCTCTTGGACCCCCCCCTCTTGGCCCCTCCCGAGATAGGGTCGGAGTAGATGGGGTCGGAGGGTCGCGCCGCATCGCCGTTGCATCGTCGATGCGGCTCGATGTGGAGCCCGGTTCTCCACGCGCTGGCGTCGCCGATGCATCGCCGATGTCACCGATGCATCGCCGATGCATCCGCGGTGCATTGGCGCTGCGGCGCGGTCCTTCGACCCCATCTACTCCGGCCCCATCTGGGAGGCCTCGAAAGGCGTTGCAGGCGCTGGAGAGGCCGTCCCCCCAGCTGGCCAGCAAGATGGGGCCCGACGGGTCTGTGTCCATCAACACCCTCTTCGCGGCGAGCGCGCGGCTGTCGGAGTCGTGCTGGCACAACCCGGAGCAGCTGGTCCTCGCGATCAAGAAGACGCCCGAGAGTCACCAGTTCATCACCGCAGACAAGGTCAATCTGACCGTCCGCGCGTTGTCGCATTCGGAGCGCGTCTGCGTCCAGTGCGAGGACTATCTGCTGGAGAGGCAGCAGCTGGTGGCCGGGCCCGCGCCCATCTGGGAGTTACTCCAGCACCCGCCAGTGCAGGTCTACGTGGCGACGGCGGGGGCAGGCGCCTCCGCCTCATCGGACAGCGATTACGCCAACGCTGCCGAAGTCGTCGCGCAGGCGCTGGCAGAGTCGACGATGCTGGAGGTCTCGGTGGATGAGTCTGGGGAGCACTTCGTGGTGTTGCTGCCCCCCTCGGAGCCGCTGCGCGCAGTGGTCAAGCCCCTGCTCGAGAGCGACGAGAAGCTCATCGCCCTCCTGCGGAACGAGGGCGAGGTGTCGCTGGCGTTCCTGGCAGAGCACCCCAGCGTCCGGATCGCGCTGGCGCGCCTAAAGGTGGACGACAAGCAGGCCTCGGGCAGGGCTGGGACAGGGGTAAAAGTCCAGGGAAGAAGCATGGGGACCATGACCAAGATGTCGTGGGACCTTGCCGATGCAGATCTTGGTCATCGTCTGTGTCTGCTGCCGCCAGTCCGCGAGGATGATCCACGAGCCGACTCTGACCAAGACCGACGGTGACCAAGATCGGCACGACGTTGCCGCGCTCAGTTCTGGTCATGGTTACCGTGTCTTTCCCTTCCATAGAAGAAATTGTTCCAGAGCGTTCCAGAACGCTCGCAGAGCGCTCTGGAATGCTCTGAGACAGATGCGGCGCCTGATACATCCCCATAACCACCAGGAGGAGGAGAAGGAGGAGGAGGAGGAGGAGGAGGTGGAGGAGGCGGAGGAGGAGGAGGAGGAGGAGGAGTGGGAGGAGCAGGATTGAGGAGGACAGAGGAGGAGATCTCTGAGATCTCCGACCTGTCCTGGTCCAGCTGTGTCCCCGGCCTGGCCCTGCCCTGCGAGGCCATGCTGACGTGCCTGCAGGCGGCCGTGGAGCCGTTGGAGGGCGTGGAATTCGACGCGTCCGGGATGAGTTTCTCCCGGCCGTCGGCGCTTCCCGACGCGGGCCAGGCTTTGGACGCCCGAAATGGGTACGGAAAGAATGGGTACGATGCCCAACAGCAGTTCCTGTTCATTTTGAACAGGACTCGCTGTCCGCGCCGCCGCGGCCTGTGTCCATTCGAGACAGGCTGGCCGCCCGCCCAACAGCGGCCGCTGTTGGTTTGGGACAACATTTGCTGTTGGGCATTGCACCCATTCTTTCCGTGCCCATTTCGGGCGTCCAAACAGGCAGCGCCTGGCCAGGGCAAGAGGCGCCAGAAGAGGCGGCGCGCAGACAAAACGGGGTCGTCTGCACCGACCCGGCGCCTCAGCTGCCCGCGCACGGCCGCGCGCAGTTCGGCGCCCCAGGTTCCAGCGCAGGCGCCCCGCCGCTGGCGGCCCGCGTGAGCCACCGCGTCAGGGCGGCGTGCGGGCTCGCGCAGGACCCGCTTCTGCCCGCCGCTGCAGGTGGCACCCAGAGGAGAAGGACGTGAAGAAGCTCAGGGACCACTTCTCGTTCTACTTCGACGAGTTCAATCTGCAGCACAACAAGGTTCGGGTCGGGCGAAAGGGGGGGACTGGGAAAGGGGGGCTTACGAAATTTGCTGCATGCAGCTGGTTTCGGCCCCACCGAGGGGCCCACTCCTCGGTGCATGGCCGCCTCTGGCGCCGGGAGGCGCCGGGAAAGTCAGCTGCGCGAGCTGATTCTCAAACCTCCCCTTTGCTATCCCCCCCTTTCGCCCGACCCGAAAGGTTCTCATGGCCAGGATGGAGTGCCTCCGCGACAAGGATCAGAGCCCCGAATCATCAGGGGTAACTCGGGTCAGGGCTAACTCGGGTTCGTTTTTCGGGAATCCGAACCCGAGTCACCCCGGACCCGAGTTACCCCGGATAACTCGGGCGTCCAGAGCCCCGAATCATCAGGGGTAACTCGGGTTCCTTTTTCGGGAATCCAAACCCGACTTACCCCGGGCCCGAGTTACCCCGGATAACTCGGGCGCCCAAAAGGAGGCCCAGCGCCCCTTCTTCCGCCTCTCCGACGTGAGCCGCCTGCCGCGCATCGAGGCCGTCCTGTCCCGCTACGACCAGGCGCAGGGGCAACGTCATGGGGGGGTGCGCCCACGGGTCGGGTGCTGCAGGAGGAGGAGGAGGAGGCGGAGGAGGAGGAGGAGGAAGAGGAGGAGGAGGAGTAAGAGGAGGAGGAGGAGGAGGAGGAGGAGGAGGCGGAGGCGGAGGAGGAATGGGAGGAGGAGGATGAGGAGGAGGACGACGACGAGGACGAGGAGGAGGAGGAGGAGAAGGACGAGGAGGAGGAGAGCTGCCCCTTGCCCCCCAGGATGTCCAGGGAGGCCCCCCCGGCGTCCAGAGAAAGCCGCTCACGAGACCCACGGGGCGCCCCAGGGCCTTCAGCACGGAGCGAGGAAAGCTGGGAGAGAGCCTCGGCTCAGGGGTACCTTTCTAGCAGCCCCCGAATGGGGGGGGGGACGCAGCGACCCCCGGTCGCCCGTTGGGGCGCCGATGGGGGCCCGAAAGCCAGCCCCGCCCAGGGCAGGGCGAATTCGCTATCAAGGGCCCATCGCTGATCAATCGGCGACGTATCTCAGGAGGGACAAAAACACGCAGACACAATGAATCGTCGATTCCCCAGAAAATGTAAGAAAATATGGGCAGTGGGGGGGAAGACAGAAACCCAGAAAATATGGGAAAATATAGGGGGATGCTTTTATTTGTGTGTATTTAAAGGTGTGTCCTGGAGCCCCTTCAGTATCGCCGATTCCCTGACCAGAGCGCTGAAACAAGAACAATTCCAGACCTACAGACCTGTCTGGACTGCTCAAAAACCTCGACGGGATTTGAGATGTCGAGGTCCTGGTGCTTTTTCTTGCCCTCGAGGAAGGTCAGGGTCACAGGTCGATGCCCCCCCCCCACCCCCCGGAGCCAGAGCCCCCCCCCCCACCGCTGCGCCCCACAGGAAGGCGTCGGCTGGCTCCTCGAGGCCGTCTTCCAGGCCAAGGGGCGCCTGCCGGTGCTCGTGGGAGAAGCGCTGCACGGGCAAGCCCCTGCGCGCGGGGCGCTGGTAGACGGGGCGTCAGAGACCCGAATCATCAGGGGCAACTCGGGTCAGGGCTAAGTCGGGTTCGTGTTTCGGGAATCCGAACCCGAGTTGGCCCGGGCCCGAGTTACCCGGGATAATTCGGGCGTCCAGAGCCCCAAATCCTCAGGGATAATTCGGGTCAGGGCTAATTCGGGTCCGTTTTTTCAGAACCCAAACCCGAGTTACCCCGGGCCCGAGTTACCCCGGATAACTCGGGCGCCCAAGTGCGCTAGTTAAGAGGGGCCTCTTCAAGCGAGAGCGGGGCGACAGGACATTTACCTCGCGCTGGTGCGTGATACACCGGGGCGACGAAACACGTCGACACACCATCATAAATCTTGGCGGGGGGGGGTACCGCGCACCTCTGCCCGGCAGATCCATTTTTTGAGAACGTCAGCGGACGCGTACCCTTAGCTACCAGCCCGCTTACGAACGCCCCGTTTGCAGGGGCTTGGCACAGGCGAAACATGTCTGGAGTTTCGCACGGTTTTCTCTTACATCGGCGCTGCATCGGGCGCGGCCAAGAGGGGGGTGATGGCCAGGGGAGGGGGATATCATGGCCAGGGCCATGATATCTCCCCAAATCTCGTTGCCCCACTTCTGACTTCAATGCGTTTCCTGGCCTACCCCTGGTCAGCGCACATGCCCTGGGCCATGATTTCCACCCTCTCCACCTCGGGGAGCGCAAGAAAACTCCGCATTTCACGAAGCGCAAGAATGTGGAAGGCCAGCACGGACGGCCTGGAAGAGTGAGGGCGAGGGCCCTCCCTCCTCTCGGACGCCCCCTCTCTGCAGGACCCCCGGCGGCGCGCCCCCCCTTTTCCCGCCGGGGAGGGGCGTCGGGCGCCGATCCAGGGAAGCCGCGCGCGGGCCCCCGAGGGGGCACTGCGGAAAGGCTGTGGCGCAATACGCTCCGGACCATTGGATTGCAAATGCCATGCGCTCGACGACGACGACGTCGTCGTCGTCGTCGTCGTCGTCGTCGTCGTCGTCGTCGTCGTCGTCGTCGTCGTCGTCGTCGTCGTCGTCGTCGTCGTCGTCGTCGTCGTCGTCGTCGTCGTCGTCGTCGTCGGTGCATCGTGTCGTGTGCAGCGAATGTCTGGCACGTGAAAAGCCAGGAGGGCACTTGCGCCCCAGCAGGTACCGCACGCCTCAGATCTGCTGCAATCCCACACCTCCAGCGCACCAGATCTAGTGCACCGCCCTCTTTTCGCCGGACCCCCATGTGGGTCAACCCGATGTTGACACCGGCAGCAGCATCGGCGGCTTGCCTCCATTGAGGGAAGATGACCCCGATCTCGGTGAGGGTGGTGTGATGGGTCTGTCTCCCACCACCACCATAAGTTGGAGGGGGGAATGAGGAGGACGAGGAGGAGGAGGACGAAGAGGATGTGGAGGAGGAGGAGGAGGAGGAGGACCCCCACCCCGTCCATATTATGGTGGTGGTGGTGGTAGAAAAACAAGCCCATCATGGTGCAGTCAACGCGCCTAGTAAGGACGCGCGCCGTTCTCTGCCCTCGTGTCCTTACCTCGGCGGCCCGTCCTGGACCGTTTTCGCGGGTCGCCCGCCGCCCCCCCACCAAAAATTGGACCTCGGCCTCCAAGGGTTTTGTGCGTCCTTGCCGGCCGTCCTGGATGCACGTTTGGATTGTAACCTTCGGGCTTCCCCAGGCCTCCCCTGTGGAGCACCCCCCTTGTGCCTCGTGCTGGTGTTGGTGCTCATTCCCCTTGGCTTCGCTCGGACGTGTTCGCTTTTTCTATGCGAGGACCGTCCAGGAGCATTTTGGATTTGTTCGCTACAGTACTTACACGCACGAAACCGCCAAAGTGCCGGAGGAATGCACTCGGGGAGCGAGCAATGACATAAACATAAAAACTCGGAGGTCCGCGCGGATTTTTCCGATTGGCGCCGGACCCCCCTCCCTGGCGCGCGGAGTATGCCAGGGGCGGCGCCGGAAGCACCGACAGGGGGGGGTCCAGCGCGGATCCGAGATGTCCGCGCGGACCTCCGATTTGTGATGTTCATGTCATGGTTCGTTCCCCTATGCACGCTCGGGCGATGGCAAGTTCCGGCCTCCAGTGCTGACGCCCTCTGTCCCCCTCCTCCTACCAGGAGGGACAAAAAACAAACACAATTAACCGTCGACTCCCAGGAAAAGATGGGACAAGATGTGAAGTGGGGGGAAGACAGAAACCCTGAAAAGGAGGAATCCTCTACAGGTGCGCCTGTCCTGGAGGAGCGACCGCGGGGATCGGCGCTCGGGGCACTGGCAGGGGGTGCAGTCGCAGCCCGTGCTGGAGCTGGCCTACGCGCCGCGGCTCCGGCACCTCGAGTTCGTCCGCAGGTCGGCGGCGGAACTCCAAAGCCTGCCCTGTCATCGGGCGTGTCGGAGGCGGATAGACCTCCTACCCTGACACGTCGATTACGGTAGGTTTGCGTCGTGTCGACCAGCGGCGACCCCAGCGCGGGCGTTCAAGGTTGAACGCCGCCGGCGACCCAGAATCGATCGATGTTGAACGATCGGACGTTGCGGCAGCGGCCGATCGTTCAAGGTTGAACGATCCCTGCGGTGTCAAAAACCAACGCTGGGGTCGGCACAACACGAACCTGCCGTAGCGAATTGTCCGTTTTCGGTTCTCGAGAGGGCGCCGCGGCCGTTATTGTCCAGGCTTGCGCCTGCCAGGTTTGGGCCCGAAGTCGTTTTCACGAAACCACGTTTTACTAAAGGGAGGTCTGTCCATCCCCGAAGGAGGAATACTCATATGTACATATATATATATATATATATATATATATATATATTCCAATCAGTGCTTGCACTGAAGGTGTCCTAGCAGAAGTTGAAAGAGTAGGCGACAGTTCCCCGCCGATCTTGGTAGCAGGCCGAGTTCCCGTGTTCCCGGTTCCGGGTTCCCAGGTTCCCGGTCATTGGTTCCAGGCTGATTTCGGTGGGTTTTGGGTTCCCGGGCTCCCAGGTTCCCGGTCGGGGACGACTGTTCACTAGTTGTGACTATGTTTGACATGTTGTTGGGGCTACGTCTTAGATTTTTGCCTCAAAATCCGCTTGTAGGAGGACATGCCCGACCTGAGCCTACCCTCGCTGATCCACGATTCGGAAAATTCGATGGGCGGCGGGGGGAAGTGGGGTTCGGCAGCCGTCGAGAACGCGTAGTTAGCGAAGTCCGAACCCGACCTCCGCCTCCCATCGATTCAGAGTAATCCATGGCTGGTGGGGGCAGGGTCTGATTCAGGAGGGAAAAAAAACACAGACACAATTAATCCTCGATTCCCAGGAAAATATGGGAAAATATGGGAATTGGGGGGGAAGACAAAAACCCAGAAAATATGTGAAAATATGGGGACTATTTTTATTTGTGTGTATTTATTTGTGTGTCCTAATTTCCCTTTACTGATGTCGTGGACCAGCAGGGGCCCAGACACCGAGTTCCTCCTGAGCCCCGGCGCCAATCCGACGGATGCCAGCGGCGACCACCCGCTTCACGTGGTGGTCATGGTCTCGTACTCCGTGTCGTCTGACCTCTCGCACTCCCAGTCGCCGAAGGCAAGGGACATCCAGGAGCAGATCATGAATGGCGATGCGGACCCAAACATGTTGGATTGGGAAGAGAGGCAGAAGAAGCTGGTGCGGCAGCTCAGGATGCACAATGCTGATGTAATATGTCTCCAGGGCGTCCAGAGTGTTGGCTTCAAAGAGCGCAACAGCGAAGCGGATCCAGAATGGTTCACTTGCGACGACGAGCCGGCAAACAACCATTTGGCGCACTTGTATCGGGACCTGAGCAAGGCGAACTACGGCATCGTCTTCGCGCCAGTCATGCAGATGCCGTCGAGCTCCGCCCTTTGCCTCGGCAACGCGATTCTGTGGAAGCGCAACCGGTGGCACATGCACGCCTTCTCGGATGTCTTCCGGACCGCCGTGGTGGCGGTGCTGAAATCGAAGGTCGGCGGCCCGCCGCTGGCCGCGTGCAGCTACAAGCCGCCCGACGTGTGGGCGCAGGACTGGAACGAGCGCATCCCGGCCTCCGAGCTGCTCCTGCCCGCCACGCGTGCGCAGGACTGTCGGCTGGGGTTGGCATGAGGCCAGATCCGTTCCAGAGCGCTCTCGGAGCGTTCCGGAGCGCTCTGAGGAGGCCGCGGCGCCCGAGGCTTCCTCCAGGGTCCGTGCTGAGAGGAATGGTTGAGGATCAGCTTCAGTTGTTGACGACTTCCGGAACTTGCATGTCCATCAAGGTAAGGAAACTTCATGTTGACTTGAACTAAATGTACACCTTCCATAAGTTTCATAAGTTCCGCCGCCGTGTTTTCATACCAACAAAAATATACAACCAATTTTAAACATGTAAACTGTTAGAAGTCAACAAAGGTGATTCGACATCACTCGTCTCAGACCAAACCTCTCTGATGTCACTCACTTTTCTCATACCAAACCAGTATGTCACTCTCCTCCCGCGGGAGCGTCGTCGTCGTCGTCGCCATCGCCGTCGTCGTTTCCACCAACCGTTTAGGCTCGAGCCTGCACTCAGGTTTCGGACCCAAGCTTTTCAACCAGCACTTGCATTGCCTCGAGAGCCATGCGCTTGGGCGCATCCGCAGCGCCAGCACGGGCATCGAAGGACCCAGAGGAGGAGCCCGGCACTGCCGCAGCGCCAGCAGCATCACCACCAGCAGGCGCAGCGCCAGCATCATCAGCATCAACACCAACAGGCGCAACGCAAGCAGCAGCAGCAGCAGGCGCAGCGCCAGGCGCAGCGCCAGCAACACGAACACCAACTCCTCCGACGCGCTGCGCGCCTGGTGGCGCAGAAGCCAGGCAACACGAGCAGTATCAGCAGACGCAGCGCCTGGGCAGCGCAGGCGCGCAGGCGCGCAGGCGCGCAGGGCGCAGCGCAGCCACGGGCTGGCAGCGCTGCAGGAGGCGCATCGTCAGCAACACCTTGAAATGAAGGATCGATGCACAACGATTTTGGCGCTTCTGGCGCCAGCTGGCGCAGCACCAGCAGGCGCAGCACCAGACCAGGCGCAGCACCTGCAGGCGCAGGCGCAGCACCAGCAGCAGCAGCACCAGCAGCACCAGCAAACGCAACACCAGCAGCAGCAGCACCAGCAGCAGCACCAGAAGCAGCACCAGCAGCACCAGCAAGCGCAGCAGCAGCACCAGCAGCAACAGCAGACGCAGCACCAAGCGCCAGCAGCACCAGGCGCAGCAGCAGCAGGCGCAGCACTAGCACCAGCAGCGCCAGCAGCACCAGAGGACGCAGCACCAGACAAGGCCTGGCGCTACCAAACTTGTAACACTTGTTCCTTTCGCAGGTACTATATCGCCGACAGCGTCGACCACTTCCGGCAGTGGGTGCCTCTCGGATGTGATTGTGCACCTGACCTGAAGGCGGTGCACAAGGGCTTGCACGCCAATCCAGGCGCGACGTGGCGTGCCATCATCGAGACAGGCACGCCGAGCCCTCCATCGCTCCCCGTCGTGCGCAGCGACGGCCAAGAATGGTCGAGAATCCCTCTTCGCGTCGGCCCTGGGTGCAGGACGACGGCGCCTGGAGACATATAGCCCGGGCGATCGCTGCGTAGGATATCACAACACGAGGTTTGAGAGCTTGATCCAGCCTGTCATCGCTTGGAATGAGACGCCGATCGGCAATGGGATCTCGATCGACGGGCGCCTTTGCTACGGAGTCTGCGCTCACCATGGCGATTCAGGCGTCAACGTGTGTGCAGCGATGGCGGCTGGGAAACATATCATGGGCCTGAAAGGCGGGCGCAGCTAGAGGTGGAAGTGTGCGACGCCACGAAGCTCAGAGATGGCCGCATCAACAGCTACTTCGTCAAGGGCACCGCGTTCGAGACATGCGAGAAGGTAGTCCTGAAAGCGCTTTGGGTGCCGATGAAGGAGCTGCCGGGCATCTTTGGCTGAGCTAGGCTTCGCGTGGCGTCCATGGGTGCGTTGCAATCGGCAAGTCCGACGGTTTCACACAGCACCCCTTGCTTTTCTGCAATTGGCCACGGCTCAGCAGTTCGAAAAGCCGACGATAGGCGGACTGTCCAATGGCCCGCCGGCGTTGCGTTTTTCATCGCCCCCGCCGCGCACTCTAGGCATTTTGTCGCTCGGCAGACGGGCTCTCGCGAGACGACGCGGCGAGCGCAGCGGTGCCGCGCAAGCAAGCGCGGCGGCGCCCCGAGCGGCGCGGCGAACTTGCACCTATCGGCGCGTCCGCTCTCTTAGCGCGTTCGAGTAAACAAGTGCAGTCTTTCTCCTTCCCCTCCCCGCCCCCCCTCCTCCCCCGGCGGCGCGTTCGCTTCCTCGGCGCCCCGTTGCTAAGCGATGCTATGCGGTGCCAGGCGCCGCTGCGCACGATTCACAAGTCGACTTGCGATGCGACGCAATGCGATGCAATGCGGCGCTGCGCGATGCTATGCGAGGCCATGCGATGTCATGCAATGTGGGCACCCCCCACGGGCCCTGCAGCAGCGCGCCCGAGGCCCCCAGGTGCATTCGAGGGGGGGGAGGGGGGGGGGGGGGGGGAGCCGGAAAGGCCAGCGCGAGCCCCGACAGGTGCTCGAGGGACGAGAGGGGGACATGGGCCCGAGAGGGCCCGCCGCGGCTCCGAGCAGGCCCAAATAAGGCTTCTGTCCACCATTCAAGTTTTGGGGCCCCCCCCCCCCCCCCCCCCCCCCCGCCACTCTGGCCCCCAGCCGCAATTGCATCTGCCTCGTCAGCTTTCCACTGGGCCCTCATCCCCCGGCGGTCGCGTCGGCTTCACGGAGCACGAGCGCCACGAGTGCCCAAAGATTGCGGTTTCCACGCACGAAGGTAGCGACGCCCCAGATCGGGTGCCAGAGTGGGCGCCGCTGGCGCTGGAAGGCTGGTGGCAGCCCCAAGCGTTTCCAGTCTTACCGAACCCCGCATTCCCATGATTTGCCGACCACAACGGCGAGGCCATGAACCTCGAGTGGTACCCCCCGCGGGCAGCGCAGCGACCACATGCAGCGCAGCGACCACAGCGAGTGGGCCCACGGCGGGGCCCCGAATGCAGTCGACTGGTAGTTCGCTGAGGCCATCGCGAGAGTCGATGGGGATATCGCACGCTTGGAAAAGATCATGAAGCGCGACCCCGAGTGGATTTCCATTCAGCCGGCGAAGGTCGCCGCGCCTCCATGGAGAGAACAGAGTGCCCCCGACGCCGACGAGAGCGAGCCCGAGCGCGACGAGATCAAGCCAGTCGCCGAGCAGAGCATCCCCGACGCCGGCGAGAGCAAGCCCGAGCGTGACAAGAGCAATCTAGTTGCCGACCAGAGCATCACCGAGAGCAAGCCAGTCGCCGACCAAGGCCGTCTCGACGCCGACGATGGCACGCCCGCCGCCGACGCGACCCATGACGAGGACGCCGTGCACATCGACGAGCTGCGCATCTTCTACCCCGACGCGCCCGTCGCAGACCAGGAAATGTTCTGGGGCGTCGGGGCCCAGGGCTGGACAGAAGCCATATGGCAACTGGCGCCGCGGCTCTGGAAAAAAGCGCCCGCCTGGGCGCCACGGGCAGCGGGGCGGAGCGAGGAGGCCGAACGTCACAACATGAAGGCCCAGGCCGAACGAGAGGGCTGGCTGCCACTTCCCCGCCAGAGGCCCCCGCATCGCAGCAGCATGGGCAGCGGGGGCCAGAGCTTGCAGCCAGGGGCGCCATCGCACCATTAGACGCGCAGCAGAACATCGCGCAGCGGAGCGGCGGCCTCGACAGCGCAGCGCGCCAGCCTCGCCGCTAGGAGGCGCAGACGCAGCCTCGGCAATGGACAGCGCACCGCCGCCAGCCTCGGGAGCGCACTGCTCGAAGGCGCCGTGCATTCTAATTGTTGCGCATCGGCGCACGTGCGCTGCGAACTTGGATTTCGGCGCAGCTGCGCCTGGCCTTCATGTCGTCACTCTCCCCTCAAGCGATCGCCTCGCCAGCGGTGCATCCGCCCCCGCGCCCCCGCCCCCCCGATCCTTGCTTTTCTCGCCCTCCTCGCCCCCTGTGTTTCATTTCGCCGGCGGCCTCTGCATTCTGAAGCCTTCTCCTCGTCACCCCCCCTAGCCCTCGTTCCATGACATCGTCATCATATGAGCGGGGCGGGGGGGGGGTGGCGCCCTGGGCCGCGGCGCTGGCCGTCGGACCAGGGCCCGCCCGGAGCAATCGAGGCTCGAGCTGATCCAGATTCTCGCGCGCCCTCGCTTGGCAGCGCTTCCTCTCGGCCTCTCGCTTGCGCGGGCTCGTCGTTCCTGGCGGCGCCCCCGCTTCCGCGGCAATGCCCATGGGCGCGAAGAAGACCAAGGGCAAGCCTGCAGTCGACGCCAAGGGCCTAACAGAGAGCCGGGCCTGGAAGGCCATCTGAGACCGCCGCCGCAACCCGATGGACATGTTCAAGAGGGCGTCGGCCTCCACGGGGCGCTTTCACACGCAAGCAACGGCGGTGATGTGCGCGATCTCATCCACCTTCTCGGCCGAGCTCGACTCCGATGGGGCGTTCTTCCTACCGTGGTTTGGAACCTGCACGAAGGAGGCCGCCCCAGGCAAGGCAGGGCAGATGGTAAACGCTTTCGGCAGGCGGAAAGCAATCCCACCAGTTCTTCCCAAAACAGAAATCATTCCCGTCCCGTTCCACACCCTCATCGAAGTGCGCGAGTGCTCAGGCCTGGCTCCGCTGACCACGCCTGGTGTCTCAAGTGGCTCAGCAGCGCCATCAGCGCCAAGTGGCTCAGCCCCAAGTGGCTCAGTAGCGCCAGTGGCGCACGTAAACCTAGGCCGCCATGCAGGACCGCATGCAGAAACACCAGAGGTCATCGCAGCACCCGGCAAGAACGGCCCAGGCTCTGACGCCGCGGGCAGCGACTCGTCATCAGCCTCGGAGAAGGATGGTGAGTGGCCGAAGCAGATTGATGCGGGCGCGCTGCCAGCTGCAGCTCTTCTGGGCCCGTTCTAAGCTCGCCCTGGCAGCTCAGTGTGCCATTGGGAAGACACAGGGGCAGGTGGCCATTGGCGGCAGCGCCGCGACAGTTTATATCATCGCACC